GAGGCAGGCATGAAGCGTGAAGTGGGCCATTTGGACCATTTTGGCGTGCGTCAGTGTTGTAAAGAAGAGGAAGCCGCATCGCAACCCATAAACACATGATGGGTCACAAGAAGCGTGGCGACACAGAGGTTAGATCACGTTTAATTGCGAAAGACTTTAAGTGGGTAGAGGTCCGGGACGACGTGTTCGCGGCAACCCCGACCCCAACAGGTTCGAGAATTCGCCATCCCAACGGGCCAGAGGCGTGCTAAGATCTCCGGTAACTACTCAACAATATTTCTAATTCTCGCGCGCGGGGCGGCCCCTGTGGGGCCCCGGACGAAAAGTACCCCGGCTGACCCCCGGCCAGGTCCCAGCCGGGTACTGGGCGATCCCCAGGGGGGAGGCTATTTTTCGCCACCCCTCACGAGGATCGTGGCCTCCGAGGGGGGGGGCTGCAATCGACTACCCCCCCTCCCTCCCCAAGGGCCCAGGGGAGCCCAATACGCCGCCAAGGAGCCCCAAGACGCTCCATTGAAGCCCCCAAGAAGCCCCCAAGACGGCCCCAAGATGCCCAAAATAGCGCTCCAGGGCCGGCGGAATGAGCGAAGCGATTAAATCATTTTAGCAATAGCGATGAGAAAGCGTTACACCATCAGAGTTGGAGATTTTCGTGTAACTTTCACGCATGCAGATATTAGTGATCAGGGGGTGTATTGTAGACCCCTGGAGCCATGGAAATCCCAATATCCATGGTGGATTTGGAATTTGCAGACAGCAATGAACGGGTTCCGAAAAGCTCCGCAAAACTTCCAGGATGTTCTAGCTCATGTTCTTGTGAAACCGTTGGCTTTCAAGCGGTGCCGGAGTGACCCCCAGTTGTTTTGGAGCGAGAAGAGAAACGTGCATTTGAACGACCCCATCACTGTAGGCTCTGATGATGCCGTCACGAATTTTGATGAACTTGAAAAGCATGTTTTGTTCCGCGGGGTTGAACGCTTCAACGCCACAGTGGCTGTGAAATATTTAGGAAAATCTTATAAGTTGGAGACAACCGGCATTGCAGTGAGCCCTGCCCCGGGATACATTGATGAAGAGGTGGACGTAGTAGGGATGAAAGGATGTTCGGCCGTTCCGACTCCTGGGCACAAGACCCCAATGCGTTTGCAAGGGTCGATTGGCGAAGAGTTCGAACAGTTGACGGGCCAAGATCACCACCACAAGTACCGATGCGTAGTGGGTACGATGCAATACCTCCCCACCGAGAGACCCGACATCCAATTCACGACGAAAGAACCTGCGAGAAAGCTAGCGGCACCCACGAAAGAGGACATGAGGAAACTAAAGCACCTCATGCGGTATACGCAGGGAACCAAACACGAACGTCTGCATTTGCAAAGCGGCGGAACTTTGAAAGACGACATTGCTGTGTACGAGCGGTTGTGTTTTGGGGCCAATGTCTCCTTACGAATTCTAGTCGTACCCAATCAGTGATTGCCCAGAGCTCCGGAGAGGCAGAATTGTACGCCATCGCCTCGGGAGCGGCCGAAGGCTTACTAGCACAGACAACTCACTGAACTTGGTATTGGTGTGACCGTAAGACTGCGGATTAAATCCGATTCATGCGCGGGGATAGCGCGATAGCCTCCCGCTTGGGGCTAGGAAAGCTCAAGCACGTCGATGATAAGTATATACACGTGCAGCAACTAGTCCGTTCATCTCGTGTTCGGTTGGGAAAGGTGCCCAGCGCAAACAATTGCGCCGATCTAGGAACGAACTCTTTCGAACATGCACGTTTAAACGAACTCAAGGAGATGAGTTGTGTGTGGTAAGCAAGCATGATCATCCAGCCTCCCAACACCACAGGATACGAAATTATGACAGCTCATATCCATAGCATTTCGGCTCAAAGGTTCGCGTTTCTGTGCCCAGCGATCGAAATGCTGACAATTTCAGAATGGGTTTTAGCTTTCAAGCGATGCCCTTCTTGCGCTGACCGCAATGTCTTCTATAGCAGGGCAAAGAGGCCAGAAATGAAAAGAGGGCCAGAACAGTTGGAAAAAGCGCTGACGTACCAGCTGGTGCAACACCTCACTTCCGCGAGCCACCACAAGATGGATCAGAGTCCGGCTAATGCCCTAGCGGGCGCCGTTCCGGTTCAGTACACTTCCTCGCACAAAACCCGTGGCCAGAAGTGCCACCGGACAGAGCTTGGAAAGCGGCACTGCCGCCGCCACCGCCGCCAATGCCTCCGCAGGGTGGCAAGCGGGAGACACCAGGGTGTGACGAGACAAAGGAGCAGCGCGACCGTTCTCGGTCCCGCCGCGGCAAGCGCGGTCGCTCGTCTTCCTCGTCAACAGACAGGAAATCCTGGTCACCATCGGTGTCGGCGGAGAGGCGATCGGAGGACGATGTCCTGAACGACGTCCTTACTGATCTTCCGTCTTTGAAGAACCTTGACCAACTTGTTAAGGTCCTGAGCGCCGTGAGCAAGCGCATGGAGGACGTCGCTGTCCCGCGCGAGAAGTGATTCCAGTGAGAGTTGTAGGCGAGCACGCGTATCCAGTACAGCACGTGTGTAATTTTACATAACAGGTTTTACAGTTGATCTGCGCGGAGCGGAAATTGTTTCCGACGAGGTGGGTTGGAAATCACGCACCTGTCCCCATCTCTCGTCTCGCCTTGCTCACTCTGCCTGCGCCGCAGCTGGCTTGGGTCAAGCTGATCCCAGGAAAACAGACTGCTGTCACCTCCTCCTCCTCCTCCTCCTGCTCCTCCTCCTCCTCTTGCTCCTCTTCCTCCTCCCTCCTCCCTCCTCCTCCTGCTCCTCCTCCTCCTCCTCCATCTCCTCTTCCCTCCTCCTCCCTCCTCCTCCTCCTCCCTCCTCCCTCCTCCCTCCCTCCTCCCTCCTTCCTCCCTCCTCTCTCCCTCCTCCTCCCTCCTCCCTCCTTCCTCCTCCTCCTCTCCTCCTCTCCTCCTCCTCCTCCTCCTCCTCCTCCACCTCCTCCGCCTCCTCCGCCTCCTCCTCCTCCTCCGCCTCCTCCTCCGCCTCCTCCTCCGCCCTTTCCTCCTCCTCCTTCCTCCTCCTCCACCTCCTCCTCCTCCCCCTTCTCCTCCTCCTCCCCCCTTCCCGTCTCCCCACCGTCCTCGCGCTCCTCCTCTCACCCCGCCCCCCAACCCACCTCCTCCTGCTGCCTCCCTCTCCCTCTCCGCATCTTCCTCTTCCTCTCTCTTCCCTGGGCTCGCAGAGGCGGGGGGGAGGAGCGGCGGGGGGGGGGGGGGGGGCAGAAGCGGGGAGGCGAGCGGGAGCGGGAACGGGAGGGCAGGGGAGCAGGAGAGCGGGGGGGGCAGGAGAGCGGGGCCGACGGGGAGGGACGGAAGAGCGGAGAGCGAGGAAAGGAGATAGAGGGTAGAGGGAGGAAAAGTAGGATAAGGCGGGCATGAAGGAGAGACGGGAGAGGAGGGGCGAGGGAAGGGGGAGGAGGGGCAAGAGGGCGGAGAGAACACAATAGAGTGGGAGAGGGGACAAACGAGGAGCAACAAGTTCAGAGATATGAGGGCAAGGAGGAAAGGGGTAAGGGAGCAGGAATGAGGCAAAGGGGGAAGTGAGGCGCGACTGCACTGGGCGTGGAGCCATGATGCAGCGCGTGGGAGGAGAGGCACAACGATGCGACATACAAGCGCATCATCGGCTGCATCGTCAGTAGCAGCATCATCATCCTAATCATCATCATCATCATCATCATCATCATCATCATCATCATCATCAGCAGCAGCAGCAGCAGCATCATCATCATCATCATCATCATCATCATCATCATCATCATCAGCATCATCGTCATCATCATCATCATCATCAGCACCATCATCATCATCATCATCATCATCATCATCATCATCATCATCATCATCATTATCATCCTCATCATCCTCATCATCATCATCATCAGCATCATCCTCATCATCATCATCATCATCATCACCATCATCAGCATCATCATCAGCAGCACCGTTATCATCATCAGCATCATCATCAGCATTATCGTCAGCATCATCACATTAATCGTAATCATACCTCGTCACCGTCATCATCATCATCATCATCATCAGCATCAGCATCATCATCAGCAGCAGCATCATAGTCATCATCGGCATCAGCATCATCAGCAGCCGCATCAGCATCATCATCACCATCAACATGGTCAGCATTATCAACAACACCGCCACCACAACCGACCCCATCAGAATCAGCATCATCGTCGTCGTCATCATCATCATCGACATCGGCATCATCATCTCAGCACCATCATCAGCATCATCGTCTTCAGCATCATCCTAATTAATAGCAGCATTATCAGCATGATCCGTATCATCAGCATCATCATCATCAACATCGTCGTCAACATTATCAGCATGGTCATCATCATCAGCAGCAGCATCATCGCCATCGCCGTCGTCATCGGCAACGTCAGCCGCAGCCGAATCGTTATCATCATCAGCATCAGCATCAGCATCGTCGTCGTCGCCGTCGTCGGCATCGTCAGCATAATCATCATCCGCATCATCATCACCATCGTCATCATCATCATCATCACCATCATCACCATCAGCATCATCATCAACATCACCAATAACATGCCCCAGGTCATCATCATCGCCATCGTCATCGTCGCCATCACAGGAAGCATCTCACGTATCCTCAGTCGCCTCTTCCTGGCCGCCACCATTACCAGCGTCTACATCATCAGCAAAACCATCACCATCACCAACACCGGCGTCCTGGCCGCCACCACTGCTTCGCTTCTCCGCCCCCGCCCTCACCCCCACCTTCCACTCCTCCCCCTCCCTCCTCATCCGACGACCACGGCACATCCGACGACGACGGCGACGGCGACGGCGTCGGCGGCGACGGCGGCACCAGCATGGGCGACAGCAGCCTCGACGACGACCGCCACCACCGCGACGACGACAGCGGCGACGACGTCGCGGCGACGACGTCGCGGAGCAAGAGGGCGGGACGCCGTCGCCCATGTCGAGCGCGCAGCCGTCCAAGCCTTGCGCGCCATCCTCCTCCTCCTGCTCTTCCTCCTCATCCTCCTCCTCCTGCTCATGCTCCTCCTCCTCCTCCTCCTCCTCCTCCTGCTCATGCTCCTCCTCCTCCTCCTCCTCCTCCTGCTCATGCTCCTCCTCCTCCTCCTCCTCCTCCTCCTCCTCCTCCTCCTCCTCCTCCTCCTCCCACTCCTCCTCACCGTCGCCACCGCCACCGTAATGCAGCATCAGCGTCGTCCACTTCATTATCGGCAGCATCACCGTCAGCATCGACATCAGTATCCGCATTATCGTCCTCACAGGCCGCATCATCCCCATTACCATCCTCAGTCAACATTCAGACATGAATGGTATCGCCATTATCTGCATCATCAGAATGATCAGTGTCAGCCGCATCATCATTATCAGCAGCATCATCATGTTTGTCATCATCTGCATCATCAGCAGCAATGATCATCATCATCATCATCATCATCATCAACAGCAGCATCAGCATCATCATCAGCATCATCAGCATCATCATCATCATCATCATCATCATCATCATCATCATCATCATCATCATCATCATTATCAGCAGCATCATCATCAGCATCATCATCATCATCATCATCAGCATCATCATCATTATCATCATCATCATCTGCACCACCATCATCATCACAACCACCACCACCACCACCATCAGCATCATCATGAGCATCATCATGACCACCAACCTCATCATCGAAATCATCATCATCAGCAGCATCAGCTTGGTCAACATCATCATCATCATCATCATCATCATCATCATCATCATCATCATCATCATCATCATCATCATCATCATCATACTCATCATCAGCAGCATCATCCTCATAATCGTCGTGATGATTTCTGCAGCATCGTCGTCCTCGACATCGTAATCATCCTAACCATCGTCCTCGTGGTCGTCGTCACCGCAACCATCATGATAATCAGCATCATCGAGTGCGTCGGCATCAGCATCTGAGTTCGACTCATAAGCATAATCAGCATCACGATAATCCGCATCAGCATCATCATCAACATCACCATCCTTGCCACCGTCGGCAGCAGTCATCAGCATTATCGTCGTCTTTATCATCATCACTATCACTAACATCGCAAGCATCATAATCATCACCATCATCATCATCGTCAACAGAGTCATCATCAGCGACAGCATCAGCATAATCAGCATCATCATGATCATGATCAGCATCATCATCATCATCATCATCATCATCATCATCAGCAGCATCATCATTACGATAATCAGACTCATCGTCATCGTCGCCGTCAGCAGCAACACAACCACCACGATGATTGGTATCCGGGGCATCATCAGCAGCAAAAACATCATCAGCCTCATCAGCATCATCAACATCATCTGAATCAGCATCAGCATCCGCATCATCACCACCATCATAATCATCTTGATCATGATCGTCACCATCATTATCGTCATAAGCATCAGCATCCTCATCATCAGCAGCATCATCATCACCAGAATCATCGTTGTCCAAATCGGCATCGTCATCACAATCAGCATCGACAACATAGTCATCCTATCGTCATGCGCATCATCAGCATCATCATCGTCATCATCGTCATCGTCATCATCATCATCATCATCATCATCATCATCATCATCATCACCATTCATCCTCATCATCATCAGCATCATACGCATCATCATCACCGTCGTCACCACCACCACCGTCATCATCATCAGCAGCATCAACAATCATCATTGTCGTCATCATCGCAATCATCTGCAGCATCATCATCCTCGGCATCTTAATCATCCCCATCATCGTCCTCGTGGTCGCCGTCACCACAATCATCATCATGATTAGCATCATCGAGTGCGTCAGCATAATGTTCATAGTTCGACTCATACGCATAATCTGCATCACGACAATACGCATCAGCAACAGCATCAATAGCACCATCCTTCCCATCATCGACATCAGCATCCGCATCTTCATAGTCAGGTTCATCATCATCGCACCGCCTTTATCACCACCCCCATCACAAACATCGCCAGCATCGTCAGTATCATCATCATCATCATCATCATCATCATCATCATCAGCATCATCATCAGCATCATCATCATCATCAGCAGCATCATCAGCACCATCATCACAATAACCATCATCATCATCATAACCATCATAATCGACAGCATCAGCATCATCATCGTCATCATCATCAGCATCATCATCATCGTCATCAGCATCATCATCAGCATCAGCATAATAATCATCAGCAGCCGCATCATCATCAGCATCAGCATCACCATCATAATCGTTATCGTTATCGCAATCGTCAGCAGCAGCATAAGCAAGATCATCATAATCATCATCAGCATCATCATAATCATCAGCATCGTCAGCAGCATCATCCTCAGCATCAGCATCAGTATCGTCATCGTCATCGTCAGAAGCAGCAAGAGCATCATCGTCAGCAGCATCAGCATCAGCATCAGCACAATCATCAGCATCAGCATCATCAGCATCATCAGCAGCAGCATCATCACCAGTATCGCCATCATCATCATAATCAGCATCATCATCATCAGCAACATCATCATCATAATAATCATCAGCATCATCATCGGCATCGCCATCGTCATCAGCATCGTCATCGACGTCGTCGTCGCCCGTCCTCCCATCCCTCCTCTTCATCATCCCCCCGCATCCGTCATCCCTCCCATCTCCGCCGTCTGGATTCCTCAATCGTGCCTCCCCCTTCCTCCCGTGTGCCGCGTCCCGCGTCCATCGTCCCTGCCCCTCCTCATCCTCATCCTCCTCATCAGCCCTCCTCCTCCGTGTATGTGCCTTCGATCAACCTTCGTTCGGACATCCAGGGGAGGAAAGAGGAGGAGGAGGAGGAGCAGCAGGAGGAGGAGCAGAATAAGCGGCAAGAGGAGCGGGGAGCAGCAGCAGGAGGAGAGGGGGGGAGCGAGGGGAGGGAAAGAAGGGAGGAGGCAGGAGGGTGACGAGGGACGAGGGAGCAAGGAGGAAGGAAGAGGGAGGAGGACGACGACCACCACGACCCTGACGGTCACGACCCCGTCTGTGACGAGCGCGCCTGCCACTGGGCTGCCAGCGGGACCATACGGGACTGGCGCCTGCGCAGAGGAGCGCGGCCGCTGCGCAGCTTGTCCTCGGCCATCCTTCCTACATCCTCGTCCCTCCTCCAGTGTGTTCCTCGGCTCTCCTTGACTGTTCCTCCTGCTCCTCCTCCTCCTCCTCCTCCTCCTCCTCCTCCTCCTCCTCTTCCTCCTCATCCTCGTCCTCCTCCTCCTCCTCCTCCTCCTCCTCCTCCTCCTCCTCCTCCTCCTCCTCCTCCTCCCGTAGCCATGTTGGCTCAAGTCTCACGGAGCTTACCTCCCGTGGGTCCCGACTCCAGAGGCTCGAGGCCGAGGTGGAAGGGCAGCCCCTTCCCTAGGCCTGGCTGCCTCGGCCAGCACGGGCGCCCCGCAGCCGCGCCCCCTCTGCCTCCTCGGCCGCTGCCGCCATCGCCGAGGCGTCCAGCTCCTGCTGCTGGCCGCTGTTCTGCTGTGTGCGGCGCAGCCATGGCGCCAGGCGACTCAGCGCGTCGCCCCTCGCGCCCGAGAGGTTCGGCCAAGACTCCGAAGTGCTACATGGTCTGTTCAACGCCATCATGTGGGGGATGGTCTTGGACGGATTTGGGACACCGTCGTTGTGGTAAATGCGGGAAGCCGTTCACGGAGTCGGCCAAAAGTACGAACAAGCAGACCGCCCAGCCCCCCAAGCCGCCCCGCTCAAGCTCGCGCGGCAACCGGTGGTCTCGTCGAGTCCAGTTCGATGATGATGCATCAGTTCAGCAGCCAGAGTGTGACACCACCGACCCCATCCAGGTCTGTGTGGCCGCCGTCAACTTCTGGCGCAAGATGGAAGGAGTTGGAGGACAACATTACCTTCAAGCAGCAGAAGAACTTAAAGCAGTCAAGGCCGCCGCCTTGGCAAACAAGTCGCCCGACCAGCAGACACAGAGCTTGTCGGACCAGCTCTCAGTGCAGCGCAAGCGCCGGGAGGGCAAGCAGAAGGACGTGGCCTGGTACCTTGAGGAGATTGAGAAGCTCACCGAGAAGTACCAGACGGCCGCGAATGAGTGCAATGATATCTACAAGGAATGCCAGCAGCTCGAGAGCCAGCTCAAGGTCGCAGCGAAGGCAGCGGCCCAACAGGCTGGAGGTGCAGATGGTGCAGCACATGGGGCATCATCAGACACGCTCGAGGATTACATCAAGGCGAAGCTCCCGCCTGGCGCGGAGATCAGCCCCGACTTCAAGCAGAAGGTCAACGCCATGGCTACGGAGCTCGACGCCGAGTATTGGCTTCGCCCAGGGCTATGAAGGGACGCGTGGATATTTTTTCCTTTTCCAATTTCATTTTAGTGGTCTCGTGCCATACAACAACAGATCTTATTGAACTGATCTGCCCAACAAAAAAATATGATCGACCCACGAACCCGGAAAGGGATATAGACATGTGGAGCATGGACACGTTTTCACGATACCCAACTGGGCAACACCTCACGAAACATCCCACGAGACACTTCACGAAACATCCCACGAGACACCTCACGAAACATCCCACGAGACACCTCGCGAAACATTCCACGAGACACCCCGCGAAACATTCCACGAGACACCCCACGAAACATTCCACGACGACAGGCAACCACTCAACCAAGGCGGTGTGGTCGTGCTGGGGAGCGGTCGTGCTGGGGTGTGGTCGTGCTTGGGGGTGGCCGTGCTGGGGGGTGGTCGCGCTGGGGGGGTGGTCGTGCTGGGGGGTGGTCGTGCTGGGGCGTGGTCGTGTTGGGGCGTGGTCGTGCTGGGGCGTGGTCGTGCTGGGGTGTGGTCGTGCTGTGGTGAGGTCGTGCTGGGGTGTGGTCGTGCTGGGGTGTGGTCTTGCTGGGGTGGGGTCGTGCTGGGGTGGGGTCCTGCTGGGGTGTGGTCGTGCTGGGGTGTGGTCGTGCTGGGGTGGGGTCGTGCTTGGGTGGGGTCGTGCTGGGGCGTGGTCGTTCTGGGGTGTGGTCGTGCTGGGGTGTGGTCGTGCTAGGGTGGGGTCGTGCTGGGGTGGGGTCGTGCTGGGGTGCGGTCGTGCCGGGGTGTGGTCGTGCTGGGGTGTGGTCGCGTTGGGGCGTGGTCGTGCTGGGGTGGGGTCGTGCTGGGGCGGGGTCGCGCTGGGGTGTGGTCGTGCTGGGGTGGTCCGCGCCCTGTGATTTATCGATCGGGTCGTGCTGGGGTATGGTCGCGTTGGTGCTGGGGTGTGGTCGTGATGGGGTGTGGTCGTGCTGGGGTGCGGTCGTGCTGGGGTGCGGTCGTGCTGGGGTGTGGTCGTGCTGGGGCGCGGTCGCGCTCGGCGTGGTCGTGCTGGGGCGCGGTCATGCTGGGGGCGTGGTCGCGCTGAGGTGCCCCGCGCCCTGTGATTTATCGATCGGGATTTCAAAAACAAGCGTTTCGCCTGAGACATCCTCAGATTTGAATCCGCCGGCCTCCTTCGACCTCGATATTTATCAGGGAAAGAATCCGCCGGCCTCCTTCAAGTTTGGCACCGGGGACATGTTTACATACTAAAAGAGAACCCTGGGCCTACGCCCTTGCCGGGACAAGCGCGCGCAAAATCCACTGCGGATGCCCTCAGAGGAAAACGAACAATGGAATGCTGCATAAGCGGCGCCCGCGTTCCGCCCGCAGTCCAACTGCAGAGAAAACCACAAATAATCAGCCCACCAGAAAGTTCACGAGCATTGTCGCGGGGACGGTCATGCATCGAGCGAGGGCAGCGGAATTATAGCCGTCTGATGGAGCTCAGCCAAGGGCTACAAACATACAACCGCAAACTGGAGACGAGCAGTGCGAAAGAAGGTCACTGCGAAACCAGACAGATGTCTCCAGGAAGGCGAATGCCTGCCAACGCGCCGCTTGCAATTGTTAATCATACTGGCCCGCGGTAAACCCCGACGGCAACGCCCAGACGCCAACAATAACGCCTAGACGCCCGGTGAAATCATTGACGCGTTGCTCAAATCCTCGCGAGCCAACCCATGAACAACCGCAAGGCGAGTCGCCCTGATCAAGGCCGGGTAATCGGGCAAGCGGCGAAAATAGCGAGCCGCATCCGCATTCGCGGATGATGAGCTGCAGGAAGCGGAGCAAAGGAAAGGAGGGCGGAAACTGAAAATCATAATGAACACGGCGAAGAGAAGGAGCATGGGGGTAGGAAAAACTGGAAACGTGCAAGAGCATGAGCAGGTAGGAACACGGAAGAGGAGCTTGGGGGAGGTAGGAAGAATCACAACAAGCCTGAGGGAGGCAAAAGGCGCACCAGTGATCCGTGCGGAACGCGCGTGCGCCGTGCGCCCTCACCAGCGAGGGCGTAGGAAGAGGTGGGAGGATCAAGGATCAGGAGGAAGTAGGAGGAAATAGGAGGGGCAAGAACATGCTGAAGAAAGCATTTGCAGACTCGAATCCCAAACGAGTTGCGCTAAGCATGAAAGCGAAGTGAAGCAACGTGCAACGCAAGAGAAAACGAGGACAACCGTTACATTAGGGAAAAGAAAAGGGTGCAGGAGTAATTAATCGGAAGATGCACGGGAACGGGGAGGGAACAGAAAAAAGGAGGAGGTCACAGAAGAGGGACGAGGAGGAGGAGGAGGAAAAAGGAAGGGAAAGATACAGGATAGAGAGGAAAAAACACGCTGACGACGACGGGCATCAATCATCGAGGATCTCGAGTCGTTCGCTTTAGGTGCCTGCGGGGCGCCCCATCAACGTCGTCATATCAGTGCCGCCGAGGCGCTCTCTCAGGGCAATTCTGGCTGCCTTTGGCGGCTGTCTTGGAGCCCCTTGGGGCCCTCTTCGGGTCGTTTCGGGGATCTCCTGGGCCCCTCTAGGAAACCTTGGGGGTCCTCCTGGGGCCATCTTGAAGCCGTCGGTCAAAGAAGTGGGGCCCTAGCAACGCCCCATTCCTTCTCGAGCCCCCCAGTCGCCAAATGCGGCCCTCTTGCGACGCCCTTGAAGCGTTTTGGGCCGCTCTTTGGCGCTCTTGGAGCCGACTTGGGCCCTGGTGGCCCCCTCTCAAAGCAAGTTCAAACCAACTCGCAGCCATCTCGAGGCCTCTAGAAACTACGGAAAGCAAAAAGGCGAGAAGGAAAACATTGAAGCGCACAGTGATTGTAAAAGGAGTTGAACCTGTTGGAGGCCTCCTTCAAGAGCTCGAAAGACAATTGCGGGCTGCCACGAAGCGGTCTTGAGGGGGCTTGGAGGCGCATTGGAAGCAATATTGTACCATCTGCAAGTATATGGAGCGATCTCGGAATCCTTCTCGGGTTGCCTGCGGTTCCTTTGGAGCCATCTTCGGCCATTTCGGGCACTCCACCGCCCCGCGGTCACTCTCTGCCCACGCCCGGGGACGAGAGGGCAGGGGGGGGTCCCCGTCCCTGCCAGGGAGAAGCGCGCGGATAAGCTAGCCCGTTAAACCACCACCCACGCTCTGCATGGCTGGTGGGATTTTTCCACGGCCGCCTGGGAATACTATCCCGGATTCTCGAGTGAATTCTGCCCGGATTTTTCCAAATCCAAATGTGAATTTGCCCCGGAAACCGCGTGAATTTTTCCGGGCGTCCTCCGGATTTTTCCGCGCGTGTTTTTTCGATGCGCGCGCCCAAGGAAAAATCCACCAAGAATTCGGAGAGGTATTCAAAACGAGTTTTTGTTTTTCTCCCCGAAGTTTTCACTAGGCCGCGCGCGGAGCCTGGAAGGAGAGGGGGGGGGGGGGGGAAAGTCACAGGGAGTGGGTGGGGCACGCCGCAGGAATGGCCGGAGGGAGGCAGGAATCCCAGCACCCCTTTAAGCGTGAGCGGCGTGACGAAATAATTCATCCAAGCCCACTCTTCCCCTTCATAGACACGGTTCCCCATTTCCCCGCCCAATCCTTCACGCGCGGGAAGGTAGCCGCGGGTCGTTGGAGCGCCCAATACGGCCCAAAATGTATCCGAGATGGCTGCAAGGAGCCCAGATACGCCTCCAACATCACTCAATGCATCCCAGGACGATTCCGAATAGCCTCCAACATGCCTCTGAGAGTCGTCAAG